TCTGGTCGTTGCAGTTTTTCCACCTGGATCCCATCGTGGGTCTGTTACCCCGTTTAGGCATTACCCGGCTTAGTGCTCCATGGGAATCATTTGTCTTGATTTCGCCCTAGCAACGGCGGGTTCATTCCTGTCGCGCGCCCACGCAGCTTCGCCTCGCCCGCACGCACGACACGAACGAAACGAAACGATTTCCCAGTTGGGGGTCTCCGTTCCACTGCGATCTCACCCCCCAACCTCCGATATATACACATATTAACATTTGTGTGTGTATATATATATATATATATATATATATATAGTTCCATGCCTCCAGATGTCCTTGACCATATATCACCATACACCCGCGTATCCATCGTCCCACACTCCGACTCCACGCGTCCATGCGGCCCCTTCATCCATGCCCGCGCGCGCCCCATAGCTGCATGCCCGCGGGCGCCCATAGCGAGTAATTTCATCCGCGTCCGCGCGACTGGAAGGAAACAAACTCCTCTCTTCCCTCCGTGTCCTCCCCTCCTTCCGTCTCTCCCCCTTCCGTCCCATCGTTCCTTCCCTTGCCCTCCCCCATTGTTGAATCGCTTCGCTCATTCCGCCGGACCGTGGGGGCCTATTGGGGGCCTCTTGGGGCCTCCAAGAGGCTTCGCAGGCCTCTTGGTGGCCTCTTGGTGGCCTCTTGGGGGGCGTCTTGGGGGCCTCCTGAGGGCTCTTGGGGGCCTCTCGGGGCCTCTTAGGGGCCTCTTGGGGCTTCCTAGAGGCCTCTCAGGACCGAGGGCTCGAAGTGTTGTTTCGTGCTCCCCCTCTGGGGCCGCTCTTGGGGCGCTCCAGGGGCCCTCTTGGGCCGTCTTGGTCTTGGGGCCCTCTTGGGCCGTCTTGGGGCCCTCTTGGGGGCCTCTTGGGCCCTCTTGGGGCGGTCTTGGGGCGATCTTGGGGGCCTCTTGGGCCGTCTTGGGGCGTCGGGAAGCCGAAAAGGTGGAAACACCAAAATCTGTCCAAAACCTAAGGAAAAGCAATGATTCTTGCATCTCGGGGCCCTCTTGAGAGTGCTCCTGGAGGCATCTTGGGGCGTCTGGGGGCCATCTTGGGCGTCTTGGAGCGATCATGTGGCATCTGCGAGCCCTCTTGTATCATCTTAAGGGCCTCTTGGAGGCCTCTTGACCCTTCTTGGGGCTCTCTGGAGGGTCTCGAGAGCGGCGCCCAGACGGAAAACCATCTCTGATCCGACCTTGCCGGGGTACTTTTCCTCCCGGGACCCCCAGGGTCCGCCTCCCGCGCGCGAAGTAGAAATACTGGAAAGCAGTTACCGGAGATCTTAGCACGCCTCTGGCCCGTTGGGCCGGCGAATTTGGTTCTGGGATGTACGAGCGTCGCATCACAATTACAATCATACAACAGGAAGGTTACATGGTTTGTTCGAATTTGTATCAGTTTGGATATTCGTCTGGCTTGGATGAAGTACCAGCTACTTGGGATGAGCCACAGCTGGTTGGGACTAATCCGACATGCGGTTGAACAACTCCCCTAGAAAGATTATTCCCCATATCCTAAGATGGGGTTCTTGTTATTACTTGGACGCCTCCTACTCCCTCTCCCTCCTCTTTCCTCCTCCCCTCCTCCTCTTTCCTCATACGCCCCCAGGGCAAGAACCTGGCGAGGGGGGGCTCGACCAGGGCCCTGGGGTGCACTAAAATCCCCCCCACCTTGCCTGGGGGGGGGGGTTGGCGGGGGTTGGGCGGTGGCCGCTTCCTCTCTCCCTCGCTCCTTGGCTCCCCCCCTCGGCTGCCGGCTCTCCTTCCCTTGCCTTTGCCTCTCTCTCCCGGCTTGCTCTCCCTGGGGGGGGGGGGGCCTCGTGTGGGGCGGGCTCGGGCTCCCCCCCGCGTCCAGGTCCCTCCTGGCGCGGGGTCCCTGTGCGCGTCCCATGTGGGGTTCCTCCTCCTCCTGGGGGCCCCCCTCTCCCCGGCTCCTCCCTCGCTTCGGGCCACCGTCCATTCCCCGTCACACACCCCCGCTGGCGGGTGGTTCGGGCTGCTAGGCGGGGATGGGCTCCCGCCAGGCCCAGTGGCGCGCGTGCGCCTTTTTTCTTTTTTTTCGCTGCCGCCGAAGCTTGGAGGGACTCGCTGTGAGTACGGCCTCGGCGGGGCGCTGACGGGGGCTCGCTTCTGAGTGATCCTTGCGTTTTGATGACAGGAGCCGTGGCTTGGAGGGACCCGTTTTTGGGTGAACAGCCGCGGCGGGGCGTAGACATGGTACTCGCCTCACCGGTTTTGCGCTTTTGCGCAGCGATGTGCCTTCACCGCTGCGCTCCTGTCTCTTTTTCTCGCTGGCGCTCGCCACGCCAGCGGAGTCATGTGGCTGATCATGGGTCGACCCCAAAAAAAAATCCTCTTTCCTCATACTCAGACCTACTCATACTCAGACTTACTCATACTCAGACTTACTCATACTCAGACCTACTCATACTCAGACTTACTCACACTCAGACATACTCATACACAGACTTACTCATACACAGACTTAATCACACCCAAACGTACTCATACACAGACTTACTCATACCCAGACTTACTCATACACAGTATTACTCATACTCAGACTTACTCATACCCAGACGTACACATACACAGACTTTCTCATACACAGACCTACTCATACCCAGACCTACTCATACACAGACTTACTCATACACAGACTTACTCATACTCAGGCATACTCATACTCAGACCTACTCATACTCAGACTTACTCAACACACATCAGATTTGGAGGATGTCTCAAGCGGGGCGCTGGTTTCAGCACCCCTGAGGGGAGCCGCCAGGGGTGGTTGCACGGGCTCGTTCGCGGCCATTTTGTGGGGATGTCTCAGGCGGTTTGTTTGTTTCTGGGCTCAACATCCTTCGCTTGGAGAGCAGATTGTGAGGATGTCTCAGGCGGGGCGCTGGTTTCAGCACCCCTAAGGGGAGCCGCCAGGGGTGTTTGCACGGGCTCGTTCGCGGCCATTTTGTGGGGATGTCTCAGGCGGTTTGCTTGCTTCTGGGCCCAACATCCTTCGCTTCGCAGATTGTGGAGTCTCAGTTTCAGCACCCCTTGTGCACGGGCTCGTTCGCGGCCATTTTGTGGGGATGTCTCAGGCGGTTTGTTTCTGGGCTCAACATCCTTCGCTTGGAGAGCAGATTGTGAGGATGTCTCAGGCGGGGCGCTGGTTTCAGCACCCCTAAGGGGAGCCGCCAGGGGTGTTTGCACGGGCTCGTTCGCGGCCATTTTGTGGGGATGTCTCAGGCGGTTTGCTTGTTTCTGGGCCAACATCCTTCGCTTGGAGAGCAGATTGTGAGGATGTCTCAGGCGGGGCGCTGGTTTCAGCACCCCTAAGGGGAGCCGCCAGGGGTGTTTGCACGGGCTCGTTCGCGGCCATTTTGTGGGGATGTCTCAGGCGGTTTGCTTGTTTCTGGGCTCAACATCCTTCGCTTGGAGAGCAGATTGTGAGGATGTCTCAGGCGGGGCGCTGGTTTCAGCACCCCTAAGGGGAGCCGCCAGGGGTGTTTGCACGGGCTCGTTCGCGGCCATTTTGTGGGGATGTCTCAGGCGGTTTGCTTGTTTCTGGGCTCAACATCCTTCGCTTGGAGAGCAGATTGTGAGGATGTCTCAGGCGGGGCGCTGGTTTCAGCACCCCTAAGGGGGGCCGCCAGGGGTGTTTGCACGGGCTCGTTCGCGGCCATTTTGTGGGGATGTCTCAGGCGGTTTGCTTGTTTCTGGGCTCAACATCCTTCGCTTGGAGAGCAGATTGTGAGGATGTTTCAGGCGGGGCGCTGGTTTCAGCACCCCTAAGGGGGGCCGCCAGGGGTGTTTGCACGGGCTCGTTCGCGGCCACTTTGTGGGGATGTCTCAGGCGGTTCGCCTGTTTCTGGGCTCAACATCCTTCGCTGGGAGAGCAGATGGTGAGGATGTCTCAGGCGGGGCGCTGGTTTCAGCACCCCTAAGGGGAGCCGCCAGGGGTGGTTGCACGGGCTCGTTCGCGGTCAGTTTGTGGGACTGTCTCAGGCGGTTTGCTCGTTTTCATGCCCAACATCGCCGGCGGGGCTGCGCCTCCAAAAGTGGTGAAACGCGCCCTGGGGAACCAGGGTTGAGGAGGAAGAGGGGGAGGAAGAGGAGAAGGAGGAGGAGGAGGAGGACTGGGGGAGGAAGCAAACCGCCCTCGTCGTGACAAACACCTGAGCGTGTGTCGCCGCTCACATGGACGCGCTCGTGGAGCAAACATCTATCATAGATAAATGCTCACCGTGGCACTACCCTCCAACATGACATGCACTTATGGCCTTGTGTGGCTAAACGCTCGTCTTACATATCCTACTGCCAACTATCCTAAAACATATGCACATATGGGAAGCTCCAAAGCTACCACGCGCTGACAAGGGGAAGGCCTGGCAGCTGAGGAGGGGGGATGAAGAGGAAGAGGCTCGCATTCAACCATACTCAAAGCTCACTCAGACTCATACGCAATCACTCGCATTAGGGGTCACTCGTCTTCGTCGGCCCTGTCGCCCACGTGGACGCGCTATTGTAGTCGACCGTTCATGAACAGACGCTCACCACGGCATGACATAAAACATGAGATGCACATATGGGGAGCTCCACGCAGTGAGTAATTATGGTTGTTTTACCCCCCCCCCGCAAGGAAAATTATTTGGGGGGTCTAAACCCCGCCCCGCGGCAACGAAGACGACGACGACGACGACGACGACCACGAGCACGACCACGACCACGACCAAGACCACGACCACGACGACGACGACGACGACGAGCGACATGGGGAGCCGGAGAATGAGAGACAAACCGCGTTACGCAGGACTCCCTGTCGGTGTCTCCGTGACTGGTGTCCACCCGGGACGAGCGCCGCCTGCCCAGAAGGCGGCCGCCGGCAGTCTGGGGCAAGATTCTCTGTCCGTGTCCGTGGCCAGTCTCGGGGGCCTCGCTCCCGCCTGCTCCGTGCCCACTTCGGGCTTGCCGAGGGAGGCTGCCCAGGCCGACGGGGAGGCGAGGCCGCCCGGCCCCGAGGCCCTGCAGCGGGCGGACGCGAGGCTGGACGCGGCCGCCGGCTCTGCGGCGGGGCTCGAGGTCCTCATGGACGAGCTGGACCTCGCGGAGTTCCACGCGCAGCAGGCGCCCCGTCGTGCGCCAGAGGTCGAGGAGGTTCGAGGGTCGAGGGCTGGTCCGGGGTTTTGGGCGTTTGGGCCCTCCGAGGAGAAGACACCGGAGGAGGAGGGCGAGGAGGAGGAGGAGGTGGGGGGCTGAACCTCGCAGAGTTCCACGCGTCTCAGGTGCTGCGCCGTGTTTGCCTTGGGGGTCGAGGGATCGCCACAGGCAAACAAAGCGGCCTTGGGCCCAACCCGCCACCGTGCCTGGGATGTTGCTGAGGATGCTTTGGTTGCGCTCTGGAAGGGTCTTTAGATGCTTCCCTCTGGGTGCAAACAGTACGACTCAAGTGGTACCCACAGGGTACCGCTTGGTTCAGATTGATCTCAGCGGGCGTCGATCCCTCGTGCACAATGTTTGCGTCTGAGGCTTGTGAGATGCCTCTCGGAGTATCCTGGGACGGCTCTTGGAAGCGAATTCTCACCCCCAATCCTCACAAAGCCCCCATCCCAAAAGATTAGCCGCTCAGAAGAGAAGGGAAACTCGGGGGTACACCCCCGGGGGACTCTTCGGACGCACCCCTTATCGAGGATGGACGCCCCCGCCATCATGCATCCTCGAGTTGGACCCCAAATGTTTGGTTCAGTGAGAAATCCGGCAGGCCCCCCCTTTTCCGCCTGCCCGCCCGCCCTTCCGGCCCCGGCCTCCCGCTTGCGCGTTCGTCATCATTTGCTTGCGTCTCCCCTCCTCTGCCCTCTCCGCCGGGCAGCACAGCCTGCCCAGGACCAGCGCGGCGGCGCGCACGTGCCCACCTGCGCATGTGCCACATCGAATCTCAGATCTCATCCTCCTGCTCCTCCTCCTCGTGCTCCCTCGCTTCCCCCGCAGACGTGCAGTGTACTCCAGACTTCGTAATAAAGGGGAGGGGGTCTCAACCCTCCCAGACGAGAAGTTTTAGACCCCCCCCCCCCGTAGGAGAACCCTCCAGAACATCGTCCCCAGACCCCCCCCAGGCCCTCCAAGATAGCCTGGAAGAGACCCCCCCCGAAATGAGACCCCCCTCCCTATATTACGAAATCTGGAGCAATAAGGAAGGCTCGTGTGGGAAGCCTTAGAACGTCGGGGAGGGCGCTCGCTGTGCTCCCCCCCCCCGCCCGCGCGCACCAGGCCGGCAGGAGCGTGGAGGAGAAGAGCGCGCAGCTGCTGCCCGGGCTCCCGGCCTCCTCCGTTCGGCCCGGCCGGGCGGGCGGCGGTCCCGCTCAACGGCACCGTAACGGGTACTTACTAACGGGTACTTTGAATTTTTGCCGAAAGTTGCCACTTTAGGGACTTTTTCTTGTATTGCAGCTTTGCCCACATCGGGAAGGGTTGGGTTCGCTGGGTCACTGGCCAAAGTACCCGTTAGTGGAGTCCCCGTTTGAGGGGCGTTGACCCGCCCAGGGGAGGGCGGGGAGGTGGGTCGGGGGCGGCCAAGACGGGATGACGACAAAAGGCGCCAGGATCACGTGTACAGAAACATGGTCTGCGCCTTCTAGGAAGCACGGGCGGTTCCAGGAAGCCTTCCCCCATCCGCCTGATTACACCCCTCTGCGCGTTGCCGACTTTTTAGACGAAGACCAACGCCGGGACAAAGTCGGATCGGGGGAGAAATCGTGGATCTCCGAGATCCGGCAACTCTGGAGGATGTATGTCGGGTCGGGCGAAAGGGGGGGATAGCAAAGGGGGGTTTGAGAATCAGCTCACGCAGCTGATTTTCCCGGCGCCTCCCGGCGCCGGAGGCGGCTATGTATCGAGGAATGGGCCCCTCGGTGGGGCCGAAACCAGCTGCATGCAGCAAATTTCGTAACCCCCCCTTTCCCAATCCCCCCCTTTCGCCCGGCCCGAGAGGTGGGTCGGGGGCAGCCAAGACGGGATGATGACAAAAGGCTGGGGGGCGGAATATCGTGGCGGGGGCCATGAGATTCATCGGCCTACGCCGCACCGCCAAGCCCTTGGGGCGGCAGCCAGAGTGGAAGACAGAATTCGCGGAACGCGCACGATCGCTGGGCAATCTTGGGGTTTCGGCATGTCTTGCGTAGCGTGTGAGGTTCAAGGGGGGCCTTGTAGGGAATTGTTTTGAAGTTTTTCGTGGTCTCATGTGAGTTTCTTGGGGCCTTCACGGGGCCTGTACCAGGCCTCCTTTTCCACCTCCTGGATAGGCTCGGGGATCGTTGATACCCAGCTGGGGTTGCGTCAGGCCAGAAGTACGAGAGTGGACCCAGCTGTGTCGACGCTGAAGGCCCAGAGAGGGCGGAGAGCGCCCAAGCACTACGGCCAGGAAAGTCGATCCTCATCCCCGACTTTCGGCGGTGGTCTCCAGCACCGAAAACGTATCCTGGAGGCTGAGTTCGAGATGCCTCGGGTGGTCGAAAGACCACGAAAATCTGTGAGACATCGGCGGCGACGACGGAACATTTTGTTTTGTTTTCCTCTTCCTCCTCCTTCTCTTCCTTCTCCTCGTCTTTCTCCTCTTCTTCTTCTTCTCATTATTATTATTCTTTTCGATCGAGGCAGATGCCCGCGGCAGTTCATAGATGTATATTCCTCTTCCTATATTTTTACAAGCCCGTGCGGGGGGACCCCTTCCCCAAAAAAACGGACTCCCAGGATCTGGGGCTTTGGGGCCTTCCGGACGGGCCTCGAAGCGGCCCCCCGGGCTTCGCAGGACGTTTTGCCAAGCCTTCCCAGCACACCCAGGGCGCTTTGGGTCATCGGGGACGTCCTAGAGACCCCCAAGACAGCACGAAAGTGCTCCAAGAGTGACCGACGTGACCTCAAGATGGCCCAAGAGGCCTCCGAGACGGCCCCAAAGAGACCTCCAAGAGCACTCCCATGAAGGCCCCGAGAGGCAAACATAATTGATTTTCTGTTGGTTTTTGGTGAATGTTTGGGTTCTCCTCTTTTCGGCTTCCCCACGCTCCAAGACGGCGGTCTTGCAGGCGTCCGAAGCCGCCTGGGAGGCTCCAAAATCGCCCCGCGACCATCCGAAAGGGCTTCCAGGCAGTCCAAGAGAGCCCCAAAACGGCCCTCAGATACCCATGGCGGCCCACGATGGCCTCCGAAACATTCCAAATCGTGACCCGGTCGTTCAGGGAGACCGCGGTTCGAGGCAAGGTGGCCCGAGGAAGCCCCCAGAGGCCCCCAGAATACGCCCAGGAGGCCTCCAGAAGGCCTTAAGAAAACCTGAAACAACTTTTGTGAGGCCCCCAGAGGCTCTCCAAGGAGGAGCCTCCGCAAAAAAGAGCTGAGGAGGATGGGGGATGCGCAGGGTATGGCGAACATGAGGGAAAAATAAGCATCCAGGAAGGATAACGAATAACATGATTATCGCGGCGATGCCTGACAAGGCAACAGGGAGTTATCGCTAAATTGTCGGCTTGTCCTTCCTTCTATTCCGCCTGCGTGCCAAACTTCAAGGACCAAGGTGCATGGCTCGAAACGCCACTGCAGTCTTGCGTGTGTATATATATATATATATATGTGTGTGTGTGTGTGTGTGTTGTGTGTGTGTGTTTGTGTGTGTGTGTGTTGGCATTCGGTCCATCCCGCCACCGTGCCTTGCTTGTCGGCCCGAGATCCTTGGTGACTTGGTTGCGGGTTAGAAGTTACATGCCTCAAGTGGTACTTGGGGCTTCTTTTGAGCATCTTGAGGGCCTCTTGGGTACCTCTTGGGGCCTTTGGGGAGGTCTCTTGGGGCCCTCATGGGCCCTGTTGGGCGCCTCTTGGGCCCCCATGGGGTTTTTTGGAGGCGGGAAGCTCAGATTGTCGGTTCAGGCTCCCCCTCTTGGGCCGTTTCGAGCGCCTTTTGGGAGCCTATTGGGCCGGTTTGGGGCGGTCTTGGGGGACTGGAGCCGTCTTCAACGCCGTGAAGGCCGAAACGTCGCGTATGATAAAAATGAACGCGTCCAATACAAATTCAACGAGTTTGGCTTCCAGGCCCCCTCTTGGCAATGCTCTTGGAGGTTTCTTGGGCCGTCTGGGAGGCTTCTAGGGCCGTCTTGGGGCCATCCTGGGCGTCTTGGGCCGCCGAACTTTGGGCGTCTCGGGGGCCTCCTGGGCCGTCGTGGGAGTAGCTTGGAGGCCTCTGGGGCCTTGTGGGGCCTGATGAGACCTTTGCCCCCCGCGCCCCCCCCGTTCCAAACCGGCCGGACCGGGCTCCGGGGGGAAGGGTTCGGGGAGGAGGAAGCATCTCACACGCCGTGACCCCAAGGGGTCGGCGGATGTCTCCACAGATCTCATGGCGCGTCTTCTTATGTCAATGCGTCCCTTGCCCCCCCCCCTAGCCGCGCACATGCCGCAGGCCATGTTCTGCGCCCACCCCCAATCTTGGACAGCCCCCCCTCTTGGACGCTCCCGACAGGGGGGAGAACGGTACGATCGAAATGTGGGCGGGAAGTGTTGGTACAGAGACCGACCGCAGTTATTGCTCATTTGGGGCAGGATTGGGCGTCGGTGTTGCCGTGGACGTGGCCCATTCGAGGCGGCAGGTCGCCTGCCACACGCGCTGTTGGTTCTGGACAAGTCCCATTGGGTCATTGGGCATCGTATCGATTTTCGCACACATCTGTATATATATATATATATGTTCACATCGAGATCTTCATAAGTATATATATACATATATCTCTAATATATATATATATATATATAACACATTTGTGGCGTGCCAAGATGACATGGGAGAGGGGGGACCCAGGCGCCTCTCGCGAAGGAGGACTCGAGGACAGAAGTCCGGGGGTGTTTTCCATCTTTCTTGTGCCTCTGGGAAGCTTCTCTTTGTCACGGCTGGGCCCCTCTCGAAGGCTAGGTCAGAACGCACCCCGGAACCAAGTCCGGGAAGGGATACTCGACCCCCGGTCCCAGACAGCCTCGCGTTTCGGACAAGAACACGACGGGAGTTTTTGGACGTTCGGCCTCCAGTGCCTTTTGCTGGGCCCCAGGCGCGGCCGAGCCAGGCGAGCAAGCTTGTCGGCCTTTCGCGACGAAGGGGGGCCCAAGGCCCAAAAATCCATGAACGCTTCCCGCGGGAGGCACGTTTTCCTCGTGCCATTCGGCGCCCGCCTCCTAGAGACGTCGCGGTGGTCGCCGGAGATCTCTGCCGGAGGTCTCTTCGGAGCTCAAGAGACGGGGGTCGATGCAGACGGCAGACGGATCTTGCAGGATCTTGCAGGGCCAGGGTCGCATTGACCTGGGCTTGGGGGCAGGATCACGCAGGATCTTGCGAGATCCCTTGCAAGGCCTGACTGACTCGGGCTTGCATTGACCCGGGTCAGTAGATCCCCGATCTCCCGAGGTCCGCGGACGTCCCGGAGGCCGCGTCGGGAGGTTCAGAATGGCCTCAAGTATTTGGCTCGTTGGGCGATCTACAGGCGGGAGGCGCCGTGTCTCTCCTGGCCCACTTTCCTACAGGCCCCCCGCGGTCTCTGGAGGTCCCTGAGGTCTCCAGAGGTCCTCGCGCAGGCTTCTGGAGCCCCCAGAAGGGCCAAGCTTTCTTGAAACACATGTATCATCGAATCTGCTTCCCCGGACGACGACGACGACAACGACGACGATGACGAAAGCGTAAACGGCGGCGGCGGCGGCGTCGCGCTGGCCGCCTGCCAGTCGTGGGCGTGCCGAGGTCGAGGCTGAGGCCGAGGCTGGCATCGCGCGTGTCGGAGCTCCTCGGGGCGCCCCCCGCCGCGCCGACTGGGGTGGGGTGGGGGAGCGGGGGCGGCGGCGGGGAGCGGGAGGAGGGGGGGAGGGGGAAGGGAGGGGGCGAGGGGTTGGGAGGGCCGGCCGCAGGGAGCGGGGAGGGAGGAGGAGAGATTTGGGGGGGGAGGGCGGGGGAGGGGCGAGGGGGGATGGATCAAGCTAGGTGCGCTCGCGTCATATCTGACGTCCTACCCCTCCCTCCCATCCCTTACCATGGCGCTGATTTTCTCTATCCGCGGACGCGTGTCGTAGCGGACCTGTGGCTCCGCGCGCGCGTGCGTAGTGGGTGGTGGTGCACGTGCGTGCGTGCGTGCGTGTGTGCGTGGTTGTCGTGGTGGTGGTGGTGGTGGTGGTGGTGGTGGTGGTGTGGTGGTGGTGGTGGTGGTGGTGGTGGTGATGGTGGTGGTGGTGGTGCTGGTGGTGGTGCTGGTGGTGCTGATGGTGGTGGTGTTGGTACTGGTGCTGGTGCTGGTTGTGGTTGTGGTTGTGGTGGTGGTGGTGGTGGTGGTGGTGGTGGTGCTGGTGGTGCTGGTGGTGGCGGTGCGGCGCGGTGGTGGCGGGCGGATGGGCGCGCGAGAAAAAGGGACTGGAGCGGAGCATATCATAGCATGGGGCCGGGGACCGTTGCACTGCAGCGGCAGCGCGATTTGGAACGACCAGCGGCGCGGAAAATAGGACGAACGCTGCAGCGGGAGCAACATTCTGAAGGACCGGAAAGACTCGGATTTTCAAAAACATAGATGAAAACCAAACTCCCGGGAATCCTGTGCGGAAAAGGACGCCGCCCAAAAGGGGGGGGGGCTTTCTGCGGCCCCAAAAATCAACGAATCGACACCGGATGTGTAATCACCTCCAATGTTTTTGCCGGGGATCATTTTCTAGATTTGGGGCTTCTTTAAAAGGATCGAAAACGTCGGCGCTGCAGCGGGAGCACGTTTTGGAACAACGAGAGGCGCAGAAATTGGGCCAGCGCTGCAGCGGGAGCACGATTCGGAACGAGCGGGAGCGCGGAAATGAGGCCAGCGCTGCAGCGGGAACACGATTCGGAAGGAGCGGGAGCCCGAAAATTAGGCCAGCGCCTCAGCGAGAGCAGCATTTTAGAAAAAAACACAAGCGAAAACCCAACTCCGGGGAATCCTGTGTGTAAAAAAACAGTACGCGGGGGGGTGCCGAATATCTTCCGGACGCCATCAGGGGAAGTGGGAGAGTAGTATTCATATTGTGTAATTGTGGAGGGGAGGGGGAGATAGGGGGGAGGGGGGGAGGGGGAGGGAGGGGGGGGAGCGAGGGGCTGGGAGGGACGAAAGTTGGGGTGGAGAGGGACGGAGGGAGGATGAGGGAAGGAAGGGAGGAGCAGGAGGAGCAGGAGGAGGGAAGGAATGAATGGTGTTCGAGGAGGAGGAGGAGGATCAGCAGGAAGAAGAGGAGGAAGGAGGAAAGCATGAGGAGAGCGAGGGAGAAGGAGGATGGACGGGGGGAGAGATGGAAGAGGTAGAGGGGAGGGCTGATGACCCACACATCCTCCGTCGCAACCAAAAACGATACGGGAAGAGATTATTCGGCTTGTGCCTCCACTGACCTGTTTCGGGCCCCAGGTCTGTCAGACAATTTGACATGTTTGAACATCAGTGCCAGGAAAAGTTTACAGTCGAGAGTTCTGGGAGTCCACGTCACGAACAAGTGTGAGGGAGGAGAGGCAGAGGGATGAGAGGGATGAGACCCTCAGACCAGCCATGAAGGGCGGCCTTTTTGCCCAGACCTATTGAAACCCTCCAAGACAGCTCGAATCAGAACCCCTCCAAATCCGACCACCCCCCTTTTATTGCGAAGCCCTGAGTAATCATTGGGAGAGAGATGCGGGAGTGACAATGAGCGACGAGCATGCGGGATGAAATTGGATCGGATGTTGGAAGACGTGGGATAGGAAGGGGGAGAGTGAGGGTGAGGAGGAGGAGGAGGAGGCGGCGGATATTCTGACATCGAAGGAGTCGAGGTTTGATGAGAGGAGGACGAGGAGGAGGAGCAGGAGGAGCGTGAGGAGGAGTAGGAGGAGAAGGGGGGGGAAGGAGGAGTAGGATGAGGAGGCGGCCCGCCTTCAGTGGGAGGAAGTAGGAGAAGGATGAGGAGGAGGAGGAGGAGGAGGAGGAGGAGGAGGACGAGGAGGAGGACGGGGATGAGGAGGAGGAGGAGGAGGAGGAAGAGGAGCTGGAGGAGGAGGAGGAGGAGGAGGAGGAGGAGGAGGAGGAGGAGGAGGAGGAGGAGGAAGGGGAGGGGGAGGAGGGAACAGAGAAACGGCACGGAACGGAACGCCTGTGCGGGCATGCGCCCGGGCCCTTTAAGGGCGAGGCGGGTGAGGCCATGGCCTCGATGAGAAGCTGCGCGCGTCAGGGGTCTACTCAGGACAAGGCGTACTTCAGGAGTTGATTTCCCGACAGTCCCCACTCCTCCGTTTTCTCATGATGTAGCCATGTCGTCTTGTTGAAATCGTAGTGCTTGTGGTGTGAGACTTTCGGAGAAACCCGTGGGTTTCATCGTCTTTTCTGTGATCTCGAAGTCATAGCAAAACACGTTCGAGTTGAACTCCTCGGACCTCCAATCCACTGCACATGGGTGTAGGAGCACTGGTGTTCTCATGAACTCTGTGTCACATCCTTCAGGTACCACTCACGAAACATATCACCACGTGCAATCGAATGCCCATACGCGCTGTGTGACGCACCCAAGAGATCAGCTAGAGGTCGATTGGTGGTGGAAGTGGGAGGTCAAATGTGAGAGGTTGGAGGTCTGAATGTTGTGCCAGTGGAGGGTGGTGGTTGATTGGTGGAGGTGGAAGTCGAGAGTCGGATGTTTGAGGTTGGAGGTTGACATGTTGAGTTGATGGACGCCGAAGTCGATAGACAGAGTTGGCAGTGGAGAGTTGGATGCTAGGCAATGGAGGTAGTAGTATTGAGTTAATGGACGCTGGAGGTCGATTGATGGAGGTGGGAGTGGAAAGTCGGATGCGCGAGGTTGGCGGTTGGAGTGCTGAGCTGCTGAACGCTGGAGGTCGATAGGTGGAGCTGGATGTGGAGAGGTGTACGCTAGAGGTTGAAGGTCGTACTGTTGAGCTGATGGACGCTGGAAGTCAGTAGGTGGATGCGGAGGTGTAGAGTCGGATGCTGGAGATTGGAAGTCGGAGTGCTGAGCTGGTGGACGCTGGAGGTCGATAGGTGGAGCTGGAAGTGGAGAGGTGGACGCTAGAGGTTAGCGTCGGAATGATGAGCTGGTGGGCTCTGGAGGTCGATAGGTGGAGCTGGAAGTGGAGAGGTGGACGCTAGAGGTTAGCGTCGGAATGATGAGCTGGTGGGCTCTGGAGGTCGATAGGTGGAGCCGAATGTGGAGAGACGGATGCTAAAAGCTTGAGGTCGGAATGCTGCGATAATGGGCGCTGGAGGTCGGTAAGTGGAGGTGGAAACGGAGCGCTGGATGCTAACAGCTGGAGGTCGGAATGTTGAGCTGGTGGGCGCTGGGGGTCGGTAGGTGGAGGTGGAAATGGAGAGTGGGATGCTGAAAGCCGGCGGACGGAATGCTGAGCTGATGGACGCTGGAGGTCGGTAGGTGGATGTGGGAGTGTAGAGGTTATGATCAGGAGGGCCAAAGGACCATAAGAAGAGGCTATGAGGACGGTAATGAGGAGGAAGAGGATAATGGGGAGGAGGAAAGGAGGAGGGGGAGAGGGAAGCACAGGATTTGAAGGATGAGGATGAGGGGGAGGAGGAAGAAGATGAGGAGAGGGATGATCACTCACGTGCGGTATTGCTCTCTTGCACGCCATTGCCGCACTGGCAAAGCTGCAAGGAGTGAGGAAGGACAAGTAACATGATGATGGTAACACGACGTAGGGACAGGACAATGAAGACGAGGATATCATGTATGCATGTAGTGATGGAGGTGGGAATGATAACATAGGGAACATAGGGACTGCTCAGGATATCGCAATCCTCCCATCAGACATCTCTATATATATATATATATATATGTATATATATACATGTGTGTGTAAAACTATATACATGTATATGTGTATATGCAGACGTACCCATGTACAGTATGTAAGGCCCTGGGAGCGAGTTGGCTGCGAAGTGAAGGCTCATGTGCAGCCGACTTCAGACGGAGGCCCGAGGTCCGAGGCCCGATTGTTTGGTCGTTCGTCCGTTACTCGTCATCCCCATTCCTCCCCCCATGAACAAACGGAGGAACATCGTGCTGACCTTCAGTTCTTACGTTTGATAGACGGCCCTGGGCGCTTGCGAAACAGCCCTGCCTTGTTCGATCCGTTCCTTGGGCGCATTTCCCAAAGGGCTTCGCGTGTCAGGGTTGCTCATTCTGAGGTTGGTCCATCCGCCCTTTCCTGCGGGGAGGGAGGCGGATCGGGGCGATCATCCCCCTCTGGGGCCGCACCGCTCCGCAGGCTGGTCGGCTGGAGGAGGTGGAGGCCGTGTTCGCAGCGATCGGCGCTGGCCGCGTGGGTCAGTTGGGCCTGGAGAGGGCCAGCCAGGAGACGCCCCGGGCTTGCCTCCCTCGGCGGCCACTCGGCGGGCCTCGCCGGCGCTCCGGCGGCCCTCTCGGCGGCCGCTCCGCGGCCCTCGGCGAGCCCTCGGCGGCCGTTCGGCGGGCCTCGGCAGCCCTCGGGCGGCCCGTCCGCGCTCTTCGGGCGGCCCCTCGGCCGGCCCTGCTACGACGACGACGGCGGCGACGACGACGACGGCGGCGGCGGCGGCGGCGGCGGCGACGACGACGACGACGGCGGCGACGACTTCGACGACGACGACGACGACGAGGGGCCCGCGAGGAGCTGACGCGACGGAAGGGCCTGGAGCTGCTCAGGAGTTCGCTGTGGCCCACGCCAGGGCAGATCGGCTTCCCCCAGCTGAAGAGGCTGGCGCCATGGGGGGGAGGGGTCGGTTGCGCGTAGGATCGACCCTTCGCCAGAGTGGCCCTGTGTGCGGGCCCACCCTCATGGCTTCTCTGCCTGGGCGGCCACGCTGCGCTTGGCGTTCCCACTGTGGTCCACGCGCCTCGTCCACATCTGGGACGGGGCAACAGTCTGGCTGTCTCTAAGCAGCCCACTCCCTGCTGGCGGGCCCGTTGGAGTCTCCCCCCTCCGTTGACGGCCTTTTCTGCGGCCGTTCCTTCCGCAACGCTGAGAGCAGTTCGTGTGTACGCACCCCATGCGTACTTGTTTCTCGACTGTGGTGTCGCATCGCCAGCAGAGAAAAAAACAGGCCCACAGAGGTCTGTCGCGTCTTCGGGTTGCGCACAGACGCCCTCCCCGGGTAGTCCCGGCTGGCCTCTAGAGGCCCCCCCACGTAGTATGGGGCGGCCTCAACACATCGCTGCCGCTTCTGATGGCGCCCTTGCAGCACTCCGTACCCCAGGGTTGGGGTGTTGAGGCCGCCCCCAGGCTGCTTCGGGGTCCGGAGGCCAGCTGGAACTGCCTGGGGGGCCGCCTGTGCGCAGTTCGAAGCCTAACCACAGGGGTGGCCCCAGCGCTGGGCTGCGCGCTGGGATCGGGCCCCCCCCGCGGCTCCGCAAAGCCGCGCACCACGGGTCGCTCGCGTGTAGCCGAGGGACGCCTCGGGAGGGGAGGAGCAGCTGACATCGCCTCTTTGTTCGCCTCATCCTCCTCCTTACCTTCTCATCCCCTCTTCCTCACCCTCAACATCCCTTCCGATTCATCCTCTCCCTTTCCCTGCCTACCCCTCCTAGTAATTGTCATGCGTCCGATGCCGACCCTCAAGGGCATCAGAAACGTACTAGAATCATCTCCTTTCTCCTTCAATCGTCATCTCCTCCGTATCTTCCGAGCATGTGGGGGCTATCGACGAGATTACCTCGGGCCCCCCTCCGTCCGAGCGGGTGCTTGAGCGCGGGAGGGTTGGGCCCTCTGGAGGCGCTGCCTGCTGCCCGATCCTGTCGGTTCGAGTCCTCTCCCTGCTCTCGAGATCCAGGTGCGGTGGGTTGTAAGGCCCCCGGGAGGCCACCTGAACAGGGAGGTTTTAAGGGACGGGTGCTGCGGATCCATCCTTGCGTGCGAGCCCCGCCTCAGACGAGCAGGGTGCTCCGTTGTTCAGACGAGTGTCAGCGGGCTCGACCTCCAGGCTGCACTCAGCGGGCAGCAAGTGCGCATGTGCTGACCTGTGGATGAGGGTGTGGGCGCGGGCGGACGCCCTGCGGGTGGGCGTGGCGGTCTCGACAGTGACAGGTCATTCGCTGACGCGCGACGGCCACCGATGGGATGACGCTCGGTCCTTCAGGCTCGGCGTCAGATTTGCCGACCAGGCCGCCCGCGAGGGCCCGGCGGAGCACCCTCAGGACCCCGTCGGTAACGATCGCGTCACACGCTCGGCCAGCCCCGTCCAGCATGTTCGTGAGTGCCTCGCGCGCGAACGCCGAGGGCCGCCGGCCCTCCCTGGCCTCCAGCCGCGATGCGGTGCACGAGGGGAGGAGGCGGAAGCCCCCCCGCGGCTTTCGGCCGACGTCGAGGCCGAGGAAGGCGAGCACGAGCCGCATGAGCTGCGCCTTCGGGCGGCGCAGCCCATGCACATCCACTGCCCCCTGGCCAGGCCCTTCCTGGGCCAAGGAGCTGTGTCTACGCCCTCCTGGCCCAGCCAGGGTGGCGTCTGCACCGCTGCTGGGTTCAGGATGGGCCTGGTGGATACGTATAGGCTTCGTCGTCCCATATAGTCGTTGCTTGCGCGTGGCCAGGGGCGCCAAAATTCGCCGTACAGTGCCTGTGGCCAGTCGGCCCCCTGGTCTCCTGCAATGTCTGCGGCGGGCCCCTCCTGCGGCGACATCCCGGGAGTGCCGCGGGCGCCAGCGCGCTTTCCACGTCGCGGCGCGGCAGAGGCGATCCGCTCGCGCGTCGGGACGAGACCAGGGCACGGAGTCGGGAGTCGGCCCGCGTGCAGGGGGAGATGGGAGGAGGCGAGAGAGGGGGCGGCCGCGGAGGAGGGGCGGGGCGCGGAGGCACGCTCGCGCAGCGAGGCCGCGGGGAGCGCGCGGGAGCGGCAGGGCTGAAGGGCAGCCCCCTGCAGCATTCGGGGGGCGGCATCACCACGCACCCGGGGGGGGGGGGGGGGCAGAACGCAGCGGGAAGCATACCGCCCCCCCCCCCACACCACCACCGTCGGTGCGAAGTGGCGGGGGGGGGGGGGGGTCAGCATGGTGTCTGGCGCGTGCACCCGTGGACAGGTCGAAGTTGCTCCTGATGGGGACGGTGACATGGTGGGCCCGAGCCAACCAGACAATATGCGGGGACACCCACCATCCCTGTCAACATGATATTGTACCCCCCGCGCGTGGTCCAGCAGTTCGCAGCAAAGAACATTTGGAGGAACGGTGGACCCAGCATCAGACAATATGGACACCCTCCCGCCGTCCCTGTCAAAAACAATGTCGCGTGATCGCGGCCCCCCCCGCGCATCGTCCAAGAGTTAGTCGCAAAGAGTATTTCCTTTTCCGTTTTATATGGATGATGTGGGGGGGCCGGTGTGGTGCTTGGTCGGCCGGCGAGTCGGCGGCGTGTGCTGGAAGCAGTGGCAGAACTTTCCCCGAAGAGGAGGACGGGGGTGGAAGAGCTAACTCGCTGAAACAGCTACGCCCAGAGGACTTGTGAGATTTCCCGCCGCAGCCCGAGCTTGCCCGTGAAGTGCCTGGCTTTCTGCACACAGCCAGGCCTGTCGACGACCTGGTACGACCAGGTGTGTTCCGTCCTCTGCACCGGCTTCAGCGACGGGCCATTTTCGATCCGGCTCGATTCGATATCGATTTCGGCCAGCCCGCTCCGATTCGATTGCGATATTCCGACGATCTGATGAGTCCCGAGGTATGTTTGGCGCTGTTGTGACTCCGACTCCGTGCCAATGCGTCCCGATTCCGCGCACGTTCTGCTCCGATCCAATTTCCTGATCCGATGCTGCTTGCACTTGCGGTCAAGGGTTCGGCTGCTGGAGTTGCTCGTACGGAGAGGGATCGGGGCTCCCTCTCCAAGACGTGCCTTCCCCCACCCACACGTCTCCCCAATCCACCCCCCGTGCTGGCCAGGCGGCAGCTGCAGCAGGCGAAGATGAACGTCAGAACGGCCCCCCGCCAGGGGGGCGCTGCAGTGTGAGAGGAGCGCGCAGGACCATGTAATGAACCGAGGGGCCCGATGCCAGGACGTCGAGAACAACATACAACAGCACACACGAACTGCCGTTTCTGCTTCGCCCTGGGGCCCCCTCGCGCGTCGGTCTGCCTTGAAAAGCGCAGCGCAGGGGCGTCGCCAGAGATCTGGCTGTATTTCATGCCGTCGTTCTGCTGTTCGCGACGTGGATGGACGCAGGAGAAGCAGAGAACGGGCGGAGAACGGAGGTGCCTCGCGCAGGTTCGCGACGCAACGCGGCAGCGGCCCCAGCGCGGGTATTCATGTTTGAACGCTCCCAGAGGCCCAGAATCCAGAATAGGCCGACATCGAGCGATAAGGGCGTTATCGGAAAGCCGCGATCGTTCGATCCACGTGGTGTCAGAAGCCAGCGTGCAAATTTACCGCAGATGGGCTGCGAGGGTCAGCGCCCGTATATGCGCTCGGGCGCGTTTCAGTTTCGAAACAGTACTACCCTCAGCGAGGCTCTGGGACTGTCAACAAACAAGTATGATGAAAGACATCTACCAGTGAAGGCGGCGGGATTTTCCAGGGTCCCCCTGTGGAACAATAGGAGGAGGGGGAGGAGGAGGAGGAGGAGGAGGAGGAGGAGGAGGAGGAGGAGGAGGGGCACGTAGAAGAGGGAGGGGAGGGTGGGGGCGAGGCCTTGTGCTCTAGTACCATTTGATTCGTGCACTTGATGTTTGATTGCAATCTCCCCCAGCTGATCCGAAGAGCTTTGATAGCATGAAAGGTTTACACATCATTTTGGATCAAACCAGCTGACGTACGATAGATGTCGGATCAAACTGTTCGGCGTTTAGGCGTTGCCCGATTCGGACAGGATGTTGAAGGTCCCAGATCGTAGGGTGCGAGGCTGTTGTTCCACCAGTGCGTTGTTCTCAAGAATGATAGCCACACCCGTTAGAATGCCGCCACTGGGTGTTGCAGGGCGGGTGTCATTGTCACACTCTTCTTGCAGGCTGTTCTCTGCAGACGTAACGCGCAGAGGTAATGTCAGTATTGCCGAGTTTCGTTCAGACACGCTCACACAGCCGTCTGACTTTGTCAGGAGCAGGTCTTTGTGTTCTGCAACAGGTGATGATGTTTATCCGGCTGCCTGCGGCAACACAGAACGCTACCGTGCCGGCACATGAACGCAGCAGGCAAGAGGTTGAGTTTCAGATCCTTTCCGTTTAAGTGCTCTGTTCGAATTGTCGCGGGTGTTGACCCCCTTGGGTGTCCTCAGTTTCGTTCTTCTCGTCTTCCTCCCCTTTCCTTCCTTCCTCTCCTCCTATTGTGAAGGCAAGGCCGCGGCGTGTGTCCCTCTTGGGGGCCCGTTGGATGCCCGTCGGGGGTCTCAGGCCGCTCTACCGAGCTCTCCCTGACAGGCTTGGTTGAGCTTTCTTGGGACGTCCTCGCGGGTCCTGGGGCTGCCTTTGAGCCCTCTTGGGCTATCTCGGGGGCTCGGCGTGCTCTGGGGCAGCCCTAGGCCGGCTTCGAGGCTTCTCGGGGACTCTGAGGTTTTCTGGGCCGATCTGAGGCACAAGAACCTCGGAAGCAAAAGACATTGAGTTGCAATATGTCTCTTGTTCCACACATGACCTCGCCGGGGGCCTCTTTGGGCGTCTATTGCGGGCATTTTCGGGAGATGTTTGAGCCGTTGGGCGTTGCGTCGCCTTAGGGCTGTCTTGAGGAGCCTGGCGGTCTTCTCGGGCCGGTGTTTGGCTGTCTTGGAGGCGTCTGGAGGCCCAGCATGGCGCCGGAGGGCAACGCAAGAGGGGGGATCAGCTGTTGACCCCGCGCTGCGAGGGGAGAGGCCTTGACCAGGAAACGGTGCCTTGCCAGACAACAGGCAAGCACTCTGGCGCTCCTGCTTGGAGCCCTCTTGGGCCGTTTCGAGGACATCTCGGGTCCCAGATCTCCGACGAGATGTTTTTGTGGCGTTCCAGGCGTGCTTCCTCCATGTCGGCCTCTTGGGCCCGATGTCGGGCCCCTGGGCTATCAAACGAATATCTGGGACACTATACCCCTAGTGAAAGGGTCGGGGCCTCTGGGGCCGCAGACAAGAACAATTACATCGTCCGGTGTCTGGGGTCGTCGTGGAGCCATCTTGGGCCGTCTTGGGGCCATCTTTGCCGCTTCGGGGCCGCCCTGGACGCCATGTTGGCGCATCTTCCGCGCCTTGGATGCCCGCTTGAAGCCACATGGGGCGCGAGAGCAGACGGAGGCAATTTGTTTCTGAGTGCCTGGCGGGTCACAAGAGCCATACACTTTGGCCGTGGCAAGCTAAGCACTTCTCTGGCGTGCTACGGTGGCGGATGAGGAGGATCCTACAGTGAAGGAGCTTGAGAAAATGTGCGCAGACCTATTTGGAAAGCCAGCTGCTCTCTTTGTGCCATCAGGAACTATGGCCAATTTGGTAGCGATCGCCGCAACCAATCGTTGCCGTGGAGATGCTGTTGTGGTGGCAGAAGACAGCCACATATTCCGATGGGAGCATCAAGGACTCGCCTCATTACTTGGGCACCCGATTCAACCCATACGCAGCGCTGGTGGGCATCCAGGCGAACTATGTTTGTCTTCATTGCAGTACGTGCTGGAGAACGACAGTGACATCGACGTTTGCAATGTCGGCGCAGTTGCAGTGGAAAACACTCATGCTGAAAGCGGAGGTCGTGCTTTGAGCGTCAAGTACATGAGAGAACTAGGCGAGGTTTGCCAGGCTGCTGGGAAGCCTCTTCACGTAGATGGCGCGCGCATTGTGAACGCGGCGACCTCTGTAGCAGCGACAGTTGCCAGAGCAACGACGGACCAGGGAAGTGATCAAGTACGCCTCTGGCGAATCACTGCCGCCCCCTGCTGGCCCGAGAAGCCAAAATTTACTGGCCAAGGGCACGGCGGCAAACCACGAAGGCCGTGGAGAGGCTCAGCGAAACCACGAAGGCCGGCGTAGGCTCCAGCACGCCCAATCTGCTCATTGAGAGGCCCTGAAGGTGGGCGCAATTCTCCGCTGACTACCCCCCCAACGAAGTCATGGGAGCGGCATGGGTGCGGCAAAGCCCTGTCGCCCCTTCTGGAGGATCTGCGGTAGTAGCATGCGTACCGTCTTGACTCGGCCTTTCGTTTGTCCCAATCAGCGCTTACACTGGAAGCTCCTAGCAGAGACTGACGGAATAGGGAAGGGTGTCGGGTCCATTTCGGTTGGCAGTTAAGTTGCCGGGTTTCAAGAGTTGGGTTTTTGGCCGATTTCGGTGGGCGCGCTTGAGTTCCCAGTTCTGGGTCCAGATGTCCCAGTCTTTGTAAGTTCCCAGGGTCTTCGATGTCTTGGTTTTGGCCACATGCCCAGGTCTGTGCGACCACGGTCAGAATCATCAGTGTGGACACCAGAGAGTGAGGAGGACAGTACATATACACATACATACAGAGAAAGAGACACCGAACGCAAGAGAGAGAAGGCAGGCAGACAGAAGCGGGAATGTCCCATACGTGTATATATGTTTACGCTGAATGTGTTCGAGAATCGAGGGCAGAGCGATGAGGAGAAACGGGCGACGAGAGAATGAGAGAGGGATAGAGACCAAACAAGTGATACCATATCCATGCACACACACTAATTATGATTAGTATATGGTTGGGAGGGGTGTTTACCAAAACAAATGTGCATGCACATGTGTATGCATATCTGTATATATATATAGAGAGAGAGAGAGAGATTGTGTGCACACCCGTATACAGGTAGAAGGAACCAGGCAACTAGATGTTAAAACAGAGAGAGAGAGAGACAGAGAGAGAGAGAGAGCGAGAGACGGAGACTGATTATGGAGAGAAGGGGGGAGCCAGATATATTCAGCAAGGGTGATCTATAAAGGAATGTAGCGAGCGAGAGGGAGAGAGAGAGAGAGGGAGCGACATAATAGTTACGACTTCAGCCGTTTGTGCATGCCTTTGTTCACATTTTTGCCCACAAGCTAAAGATGTGCACGTACGACGTTGTTTAAACAATTTCACAAGGAGAGCATGTGCATAAGCATGAAATAGTGTATATCTATATACGGCATACTGAGTGAGAAGGGCACCGTGGCCTTCCGCAAACCCCGCTATCGTGCCTGTACAACAGCGCTCTGGAATGAGGCTGAATGTAGGAGCAGCGCGTTTCCGACGAGTGGTCTGAACCGAGACGGGACGTGCGTGCTCGATCTCGCCTTCACTCGCGCGGTATGAATGAGGTCATGTTCACGTACCGCGGCAGTTCCGCGAGCAGTTCAAATTGGGGAGGGCCGTGATCTTGGATTGCAGATTGCCACAACAGTTTTCGGGGTTCATGCAACGGGGAGCGGAATGAGGAATTGCTGGAGGAAGCCAGTATTATCCATTGGTGCTTCTCCATGTTCTGCGAAATTTGGCGTACAGGGGAGCAGGAAGTGTTGCAGACGAAGTATGGACATGCGTTCATGGGCTCTGTTTGCACCAAAAACTGAAGGGTTGTTGCCATGTTAGGCAACCGGCGATGGGGTCGGCGAAGTGACAGATTTCGGAGAATCAGCGAACGAATGTGTCATGCGGATGTCGGGTTACGACGTATGACATTACCTTTGGTATCGGCTCACTCGCCTTCTGGAGGTTACGAACCATGTGCCGAAATTGTATGACGAATTTGCGCAGGTACACAAGGAAGCACTCAACAACAATTCAGCGACAATGACTGGTGGTGCCTTCAATGCCCGGGTCGGCGCACGTTCCGAGAATGACAACAGGCGTATTATTGGACAGCACGGGGTTGGCACCATGAACTCACAGGGGTAATGGTTGAAGCAATTGGCAACGGACCAACGCTTCAGCATGATGAACGCGTTCTTCTATTAACAACTTGATGCCACGCACACTGACACACCGCCAAAAAACAAGGTCCGCCACCAAACCATCTTGTTTTTATTTGACAAGCGGATGTGGCGCCA